TTTTTTTTTTTTTAAAGATTTTATTTATTTATTTGAGAGAGAGAGTGAGAGAGAGAGCGCAAGAGGGGGGAGGGCCAGAGGGAGAAGCAGACTCCCTGCCGAGCAGGGAGCCTGATGTGGGACTCGATCCCGGGACTCCAGGATTATGACCTGAGCCGAAGGCAGTCGCTTAACCAACTGAGCCACCCAGGCGCCCCTACCAGCTTCATTTTTAAGTAGCATGTTCCATTTAGTTGGCTCTTTGTTGTGATGGTAATTTTAAATGGATCTAGAATATTCCTTTGTGGATGAACCACAATTTCCTCTATTATTTAACAGACATACATTAATTGTAGTAATGGATATGAACATTATCAGCATTTTATTGGGAAGCCTACTGACTTTTTTAAATAACGGAGTGGCCACTTTTATCTTTTTTAAATTATTTATTTATTTATTTATTTATTTATTATTAGAGAGAGAACCAGTAGGGGGAAGGGCAGAGGGAGAGGGAGAAGCAGACTCCGCACTGAGCAGGGAGCCCAATGTGGGTGATCCCAGGACCCCAGGATCGTGACCTGAGCTGAAGGCAGATGCTTAACCAACTGAGCCAGCCAGGCGCCCCTGGAAGTGACAACTTTTAAAAAGTTATTCCAGATAAATACTAGAATTATATGATTGTTTATGGCATGAAAGTGAAGAAAATGTTATTGGTATAGACAGGCAACCTGGATTGGAGGAGTTTAGAATGACATTTGCTAAGTAGTTTGGCTCTCGCTCTCATGAATTAATATAAAAAAATGGAACTCTTTATCATGTGAATTGAGGACATTTAATGTAGGGTCTTTTTCCTTTTTTTTTAAGGCAGTATGAGATTTGACCTAGAAATAGTGTAACCCTTGTGATGAGGTTAGGTCCTTATATGATTTGGTAACTAGGGGGGACGCTCAGGGATGGCGTGGGGCTGAACACCGCCTCTCAGACTATATGAATGGTGTGTATTTATGTAATGGCCACCCTTTCTGTCTCTGTAAGAAATGTAACTGGTGGTTCTTTCATCCTGTGCCTGCTATTAGACTATCAGTAGCTTATATAAGACCTCACTGCCTGGCAACCACGTGGGACCAGAGTCCATAGACTATTCCAGAAACAATTAACATAGAAAGAAGGAACAGTAGCCATCGAGTCATTTTGCGGTTCTTAGAGGAGCATGAGCCCCTGCCTGTCTGAGCACTGTCCCAACCCCAGCCTTCCCTTCCCCCTGTCTCATTGGTTCATCCGCCTCCAGGCCATTAGCCAAGGTCCCACAAGCCTCAGTCACCCTCAGTGAGGTGACATCAGTGACTGGTTCCCAGCACTGCCCGGACAGTCTTGCAGGGAATCATGACAGTTCTTCCACCGAAGCCAAAACAGCGGCCCTGCCCCTGACGGAGTACCTTGTACCGCCCAGAACCTGAACCGCTATTGTTGTTCAGGAAGCTGCTAGGCGTGCCCTGGGTGTTCCTCAAGACCCGGGCAGCATGGTAGTGCCCAAGGCCCCCTTCAGACCCACACTCCCTTGCACCTTCCTCATCTCCCCTGTGCGAGTCAACGCCTCCGATCAGAGATTGACGTCTTGTTCATCTTTGCATCCCTGTCCGGCTTGCATGGGACCTGCCACAAAATTGGCCCTCAGTAACTATTCCTGGAATGAATATGTGCATTCCGCATTCCACCTTTAGGTCTATCATTGAGAGGCCAGGAATTAAGCATCACTAACTTAGGGTTCCTTTCTGGCATCTATGTTGTGTGTAGGAATTTAATTTTCATGCCTCTTCCGTAGCCCTGACACACCCACATGCCTCCCCCCAACGAACATCCGAAGCCCGCTGGACTGTGAGGCGCCCCGCTCTACCAGCACCCCACTAAGTGCACACGCGGGCTTCCGATGCCCGTGCTTCGGGCGGATCCTGCCAGCCTTTTTTATTTTTTTCTTTTTGGTTTGTTTGTGTTCTCTTTGCTAAATAACAGCAGCTGCTTTTCCACTGCAAACATCATACCCATCTTATGCCAAGATTGTGTACCCCGCACATAAGAGTGGGAAGTGTTTTTATGGTGACTGCTCCATGGGTCTTGGGAATAAGTCCTAGCTAGTGAGAGTTTTGGAAAGTGTTCCTTTCTCTGTATAGACTCTGCTTGGACCTTAAAATCATCAAGGCTTCTGTGTGTTTGATGCGTGATGTTTGAATGTGCGCTTGAGTGTGTTAGTGTGTCTGAGTGCGTGCGGGAGAGAGGGCGTGTTGTATGGGGAGTGGGACCAGCTGAGTCAGGGAACAACGGGTGGGCAAGGTGGGCAGGCCAGCTGGTGCTTCGTGTGTGAAAGAAAAGGTTAACATTTTTCATCCTACAGATGCTCTCAGTCCCAAAATGCAGAATTCTTGTCATCATTTTTGTCAGTGCTATATAATGCGTTTAGTAGATTGGCTGTAAGTGTCAGGGTGGGCAGCTTGTTGTTTGAAGCCACATGAATTATTAGTGAAACCTACGTCCTTCTCACTGATTTCCTGCCATTGTAATTTCGGTTTTCACTCAACAAACCTAGTTTTTACAAACAAATACAAATCAGTGCAGTTCAGACCAACCAGTGAAAGCCATACAAAGAATTAGTGCCTGCTTTGATCAGAATTGACTTCTCCCCCCAACCCCCCCACATTACTACTTTATTTATTGTATTGGAGTAAAATGTATGTATCATGACATTTTAACCATTTATGAGTGTGCAGTCCGTGGCATTAAATACGTTCACAAGGCTTATGGTGGTTATACCATCCCCAGTGTCTATACCCGAAACCTTTCATCATCCCCAAGAAAAACTATGTACCCATTAAACAGTAAGTCCCCATTCCCCCTCAGCCCCTGATAACCACTGTTCCACTTTCTCTCTCTGAATTTGGTAGTTCATCTAAGTGGGATCATACAACATTTGTCCTTCTCCATCTGGCTTATTCCACTATGCATAATATTTTCAATGTCTATCCGTGTTGTTGTTCATTCCCTTGGTTTTGGCTGTGTAATTTCTACAGACCACATTTTGTTTATCTGTTCACCTGTTGGTGGACGCTTGGTTGTCCCACCTTTGGGTGCTGGGAATAATGCTGCAGTGAACATGAATGCTCAAAGACGTGTTCAAGTCCCTGCTTTTGGTTCTGTTGGTTATATACCTAGGAGTGTCATTGCTGGATCTTAACAGTTGTTCAGTGTTTAACCCTTTCAGAAACGAATTGGCTTCTTCTTGTGATTCAGGTTCAATGTAAAATGTGACCACTTCAGAAATGGTTTTCCTTTACTACCTAGTCAAAAAATGGCACCCCACCCTCACCCCCACCCTGACACACTCTATCATATCACTGCCTTTATTTTCTTACGGCACTTACCCTGTAATGATATTTTCTTGTTTATTCGATCCCTCTCTATGTCTGTTCACTGGAATGTCAGCTGCAGCATAGCCAGACCTTGTCTCTTGCTCCCCACTGCCTCCTTGGCACTCAAAACAGCTCTAGACACATGGAGGCAGCCAGTCCATACTTGTGGATTGAAGACACTTTTTCTCTTTTTTCAGTATTGGATACAAATGACCGATTTCTACGAAAAATAACGATTGGGCAGGCACCCACAGAGAAGGGGTATTCCCGGCAGGTACGTGACATTTCTTCATGGGAATGGCTTTGTTCTTGCTAGCATTGGTTTATACCAACCCTGAAGCTGGTTCTCTGCTTCTCTCTTCTCGGTCGTCCACCTGCAGTGGCCAGTGGGTTTCTCATCATTTCAAGGTGTTGCTTCCCATCCCTCAGCAGGACTGGGAGAGGATCAGGAGGCAGGAAGGCCCTGGTATTTTCTTACCATCCTTTTCCTGGGTGACTTTAGTTGTAGTTCTGGGAAGAACCACTCAGGGTGTCTTTTGAATATAAATTTTTACATATTTTATTGCAAATCCACCAAGTTAATACTACATCTGCTTAACAGCTGAAAAAAGAAAATCTCAGGGACGCCTGGGTGGCTCAGTTGGTTAAGCGGCTGCCTTTGGTTCGGGTCATGATCTCAAGGTCCTGGGATCGAGCCCCGTGTTGGGCTCCTTGCTCAGTGGGGAGCCTGCTTCTCCCTCTCCCTCTGCCTGCTGCTCCCCCTGCTTGTGCTCTCTCTGTGTCAAATAAAGAAAATCTTAAAAAAAAAAAAAAAGAAAATCTCAAACACATTACTCAAGTCTCATAAACCAAAGAATAAACACCCCATTATTTAATAGCCTGAAGTGTTTTTAAGGATTATATCTTATTACCCAAATGCAGAAAATGCAGAAGGTAAATTATGATGCTCACCTTCATTTCATGTGGAGAAGGATGCTTAGGGAACATAAAATCATTCTGTGATTTTTCAATCAGGTGCAACAAGCCTCTAGATTATAATAAACCTTATATTTTAAGATGGTATTAGATTTATGGCCTTTACGTTGTCGAATTTTTATTAGTGAAAAAATAATCACTTTTACTATAATATTCAGTTCTCATACCTAATAGACTTTTGGACCATTGGAAATTTTGAATTAAGCAGGGAATATGAGAACTGAATCGAGACAAACTAAGCCCATGTACCTTCCCTCCCTGCTCCCCTGTATCCTGGAACTTGGACCCATGAACTGATTTCCAACAGTTAGTCCAAATCCATGCTAGAAAACCAGAATCATTGCCATATAATTTCAGGAAGCTTCTGAAAGCTGGGAAGATGGAGTTGGATTCGCGGAGGAAAGCACGGCCCCAAACATGATGGGAGTGTTCTAGGGGTCTCTACATTCAAAGGCAAGAGATGTCCTACTTCTGAGTTAGAGTGGGCCCGCACATCCTTCAGCGTCAGTGGATGGGGACAGCTCCCGAGAGGGAAACAAGCACCGTCCCGTGACCCCTATGCTGGGCTGCAGCACGGGAACCTGAGTGTGGTCCTGAGGCCCGTGCCTCAGTGTACCGCCCAGCCCGGGGACCCCTCACGTCCCAGTCACAGACTTGCATGTGTACTGTGCCTCCTATAGGCAGTGAAAAGCATCTTCCTCAAAGGAAAGCAGTATATTGTGGCACTTTTTTTTTTTTAAGATTGATTGATTTATTCGAGAGAGCACGAACAGGAGGGGCAGAGGAAAAGGAAGAGAGAATTTCAGGCAGACTCCCACTGAGCCTGGAGCCTGATGTGGGGCTTGATCTCAACACCCTGAGATCACGACTGAGCCAAAACCAAGAGTTGGACGCTCCACCGACTGTGCCACCCAGGTGCCCCGATTGCAGCACTTTTTTTAAGGAAAGGGCAACCTTTTCTCACCTCGTGGATGGCATCCGAAGGACTAGCCATGGCCCTGTGAGTGTGCACAGGCCTGGTAGTGGAACATCGGCGAGTCCTGGGTCCTGCGCTCTCTGATCTCTGCAGGTAAGCTGGGGTCGTCAGAAATCAGGGCCACTGACAGGTAAAAATGAGGATCAAAGCCAGGCATCACCAGCGTCAAAAGTACACGTGCATCACGAAACGTGACACCAAAGCCAGCAAAGGGACGCTCACGATGGCCAAGAAAAACAAGATGGCAAGTCCTGTGGGAGGAGTCTTTACAAAGAATACCATCGGTATCCTCAGAAGACTGAGAGAGCCTTCATACAAGGAAAAATGCCTGCTGTGAAAAAAAGAGATGAAAATCTTGGAAGGAAAACCATGATGTGAAAATAAAAATCGAGTTCGTGGACTGGATAAGAGAATAAGCCTTAAGTGAATTAGAGAGGGCAGGGCAAGCCAAGGAATTCTGTCTGAACACGGTACCAAAGGGAAAGCTGTAAGTGTAAAGAAAAAGGCGGAAGACACGGGAAACCCATCAAGAAGTTCTAATATGCATCGCATAGGAGGTCCAGGTGAGAGCAAGAGAAGGGAGGGAAGAATGTGTTCCGGGAAATAATAGAAAGCAAATGCACCGGCTTGATGGAAAACATGAATTTGCACATTTGAGACTCTGACAAGGGCCACGCAGGATGAGTGTAACACTCACACCAACACTAAGGGTACAACAAAATTCCGAAGAGCTGCCGCAGACAAAAAAGTCCTGGCTGGTCCCTCAGGAGCGAGCCCCGGGTGGGCATCAGAGTTCTCACCGGCAGCACTCAATGCGAAGTGGCCCTGGGAAATGGATTCCGACTCCTGAAGGAAAAGGAGTTTTCAGACTCCTTGAGGAGAAGAGAAGCAACAACAGTCGGGCGTGCTGAGTAGAAGATGCAAAAGCATCCGGACAAGTCGGACACGTCAGCGGCCGCTGCAGGTGTGAACATCACAATCGTGAAATGCAGAGCCCCGAAAAAAGAGACCATTTTGACATCGTAAAAAGTTAAGCTCTTGAACATGAGAAGTGGACACGTACAAAAACATCAAAAGACCAGTAACAGAGTGGGAGGGAATGTTTGCATTAGCTATAACGAAGGAGTAATACACCAGACTTAAAAAGAGCTTCCACGATGTGCTACTCACATACTCTGCTCCCAGTGCGGGCTTCACTGCTCACCTTTGCCGCCGGGGCTGCCTGGGGGCGCCTGGGGGGCTCAGGCAGTGGGGCATCTGCCTTTGGCTGGGGTCATGATCTCAGGGTCCTGGATGGAGCCCTGCATCGGCCCCGCTCAGCGGGGAGTCTGCTGCTCCCTCTCCCTCTGCCCCTCCTCCTGCTCGTGCGCATGCTCTCTGTAATAAATAAAATCTTAAAAAAGCAAAAAACCGGGACTGCGTGTCCCACAACTCCCTCTTTCCTTTGCCTGCGCTCTTTCTCTTACATATTTTCTGCCTCTCCCTCCTCAAACGTGAGTTTTATAAGGGCAGGGGTTGTATTGTCAGAGCTGCGAACTTTGTTATAGAGCAGCATAGGTATTCAATAATTGCTAAATAAATGCATAGAATAAGAGCAGTTTGTAAACACAAATAAAATGCCAACAAGTGATCGTAAAACTGCAAGTTAAAACAATGAGGTACTATTTACCCGTGTGCTTATAAAAACAAATAAATTAGTATTGAATGTTACTGAGTTTACAAAGAAGTAGAGGCATTTATACAGTGTTCGTTGGAGTTTAAATTAAGTGTCTTGGATGATTGTTTGTACTAAGATTTGAAATGACCCAAGAATTCAGCTTTAGGATATAGAAAAAGTAAAGGTGGAGGAATTTTTGCCCATGTGCAAGAAAAAAAAAAAATCTATGTATAGGGGTATTAACTGCAGCATTATTTGTAATGGTGAAATTTGAAACAGTCTAAACATCCATCAGGAGGGGCAGTTTCATATCTTCCGTACATCATTCTGTACCGTAGATATGGCAGGTCCCACATCCGGCTCCCTGCTCAGCAGGAAGTCTGCTTCTCCCTCTCCCACTCCCCCTGCTTCTTTTCCCTCTCTCGCCGTGTATCTGTCAAATAAATGAATAAAATCTTTAAAAAAATAAAAATAAAATAAAATTAATAATTATTTCTTTTTTAAAGATTTTGTTTGTCAGAGAAAGAGCGAGCAGAGAGAGAGATAGCACAAGCAGGGGGAGCGGCGGGTAGAGGGAGAAGCAGGCTCCCCGCTGAGCAAGGAGCCCGATGTGGGACTCGATCCCAGGACCCTGAGATCATGACCTGAGCCGAAGGCAGATGCTTAACCCACTGAGCCACCCAGGGGTCCCAATAAGTGATATTTAAATTGACCTAATTTGTTTCATTTTTGATGTTTTTCAAGGTACAAAATTTTGAAGTTATAATGACTACAAATGTAGAGCTTATGTGTGTATTATAAATGCTACTTAATTACTTACATAGTTAATATTTTAAGAGTATCTCTAGTTTCATGTTTTGCATAGAAAGCCTCAAAATTTTCAGGCATTTTTAATGTGCACCGTTTATAATGGAATAGTAGTATAGAGGATCCTAAATATCATACAATGAAAAGTCACTGATGTTTAGAATGTGTTATATGGAAAATGTAATAATTGAGCATAGTTGTATTTGACTTTCAGTAATATTTTTTCACTACATCCGTGACTAATGAAATCTCAACCTGGAAGTAGCCAGAAAGCTCCTTATTTCCTTCATTTCCTTTCTTGTCAGTGACAGAAAGGGACAATAAAATGTTTTCAAAGGTGACCCCTGCCCATTTCCTCTCTATGTAAGTTTGCATTTGGCTGCCGCACAGGCCCCTTGGGAAGAAGAGAATTCAGGCAGAGCCGCATGAAGTGATTTTGTCCAGTGGCTGAACTATGAGGAGGAGGAAGGCATGTTCCTCGTTTCTCTTGTGGTTCCTGTTGGACCGCGTACAGCCTGCAGGGAGAGCCAGGAGAGGGACTAGCAAGGCCCAGACATATTTCACAGAAAGTTGCTTCTGTCCAGTGTTCATTGCTGGGCACTTCAAGGTCTGATGGGGCCAAGCCCCCATGGGCAGCATAAATTTGATTCTGTGTCACCTTTTGACTTGGGGGGACTATACACGATGGGGTGTCCACACTGCTGTGTGAAGCTCTAACTCTGGGAAACCGGCCCCAGCACCATCTCTCACTGTCTGCTCCTCATCTCTTTGCTGGACAGACAAATGCCACCCCTTGGACACACCAACGATAACAGTGGAGGCGGCCAGCAGGTATTTATTTAGGGGACATGTACTGAGTGCCTGCTGGGTTTCACACCCCGTCCTCCACGCTGGGGACTCAGGAATAAAGCCTTCCCAAGGCTCTTGCCTTCGTGGCACCACTTTCGGTCGTGGAGAGACGTGCGTCAGACAGACAGTTGCGTTAATCATTAATTACAAGTCTGAGACATGCTGCAAAAGCCAACCACAGAGTGTCACGGGTGGGGGTCGCAGCGGTCCAGCCAGGCTGAGTCCTGCTCAGCAGAACAAAATCAAAGAAGTGCCTGGTCATCAGTAGAGGGCCCGCCCCAGAGGGCACCAAGCACAAGACCGTGCATGTTTCCAGCAGTGCAAACACTTGCGAATGTGAGATTGGCGCTTTGAGGCTGGACGCCCCGCCCCCCCAGGCCTTCAGGAAATTAATTGCTGAAATACCACTCCTGGTGCAAATGGACGTCCAGATAGCACTGTCTCTGACCAGTACTTCTGCTTTGCCTTTTCAGGCACAGTTTGACATCGCAGTGGCCAGCGAGATCATGGCAGTGCTGGCCTTGACTGACAGCCTGGCGGACATGAAGGAGCGGCTGGGAAGAATGGTGGTGGCCAGTGACAAAAATGGGCAGCCCGTGACAGCAGAAGATTTGGTGAGTGTGTCCATCTCAGGAGCTCGAGAGAGCTCGCCGTGGCCCTGTCCTGTGTTCAGGAGAATGGAGGTCTTCTTACCAGCATGTGTCATAGAAATCCCAGGCCATGTCTACACTCACGTTTTCCCCTCACAAGCCTGTTTGTTTTACAGCGTCTATAATGTGCTCGTCCCTGGCTGCAACCAGAGCACGTGACATTTATTTCCTAAGTCTTCCAGGACTCTTGGCAGCCCCGATCTGCGCTCTCTGCGCTTGGCGGGGCAACCTGTTAGCTCACGGCTTTTTCACAAAGGGCGATCATGCCTGCTTTAAATGGAGGACAGATTGCCTTTCCAAAGAATAAGAAGAAAGTGACTCCACCTGTATGAAAGGGAAGATAGAGTGAAAATTGGCCCTGGCTTGTTTAATTCTGTGTTTTATATTCAGGTGTCCCGTTACGACACCAGATCTTCCTCTTAATCCGTTTTACTCATCTAGCTCCCTTTTGAGTGCAACGATGCCTTCTATTAGCTTCCTGGGTATCCTGGTGCGTCACTGCGTCTTGTGAGCGCTCATTCTAATTTGGCATGCTCATCTTTTTTCCTCTTCGTAATTACTTTGCTGTTAACTTAAACCCCGTTGGTGGTATAGCTGTTTCATGTGCTTGTGCGTAGATAGGACGTAGGCGTTGGGAAAGCCATTAAGCACTCTGATCTTCAGCTAACTTTCCCACATACGGCTCACGTACCATGATGGCAGCTAAAATGCACGCTGATAGTTGGAAACGGAAAAGGCAAATTAATATTTTAATTCTGAGGGCTTAGGATGTAATTGGAATCCTTTGCCAGAGTGTCTTGATTACTTTTTGGCCACTTTTGGAGAGATGAATCTGACCGACTCATCTCGTAGGTCTTGTCAACTCAATTAGGTATTTTTATTAGCAGCCCCTAGGATGCTTCGTGTAAAGCTTGACAAGAAAACCCAAATCCAGCTTGCTGTAAAGGTACTGTTTTTTAAACATTACGAACATTGCGACATTTCTACGGAAACTAACATATTATGGTTTCTGTATCAGTATATTTCCCTGTATCCTCTTAATCTTAGGTATCAATAAATATGCATCTGAAATAGTTTGAAACTTAATCTGCAAATATGATTTCTCTACATTTATTTTTGCGTGTGTGTGATAAAAACCTCAGATCTGAAAATAAACCCCAAGTTTACTCTTTTTAGTCATCTTTTGTGTCTCTTGTTTACAAAAAGCTCCTAACTTCTTCCGATTATGTTTTATGCAGCTGGAACTATCAATAGCTGGTCTTTCATGGAAAATTGAGGGAGGATTTTAGGAGCTTCTGTCTTTTGGTTTCACTATTTTATAATTTTTTTATATACTCTGATTTGGCCAAAAGGACTTACGTATTGCCATGAGAATTCGAGTAGATGGCTTCTAAACGTTTCTCCTAAGATGATCGATTTTGGTCCCCTGGAAGAATGTATCCAGACTCTCTCCCCCTGGACTCGGGATATGGAACAGGTGCAGGGTTCAGAGTGACCATGACAGCCTCAGAGCTACTCTCTCTTCATGGGCTCGAGGATAGTCAATGTGTTAGGAGCAACATAAGATGAGAGATGTCCCGGGAAAATAAGGAGGTGCACACTACCTGAGGCAGTCCAATCGAAATGTCCACCTTCCATCCTTCTCTAGTTTCTTGCTTATACTGGCAAGTATAAGCAAACACAGCATCCAGAAAGCTCAGCGGACATCTACTTTTGCTATCTGCTTTGTGTAAAGAATAGAGAACTAATTTCTTTGAGCCCTTCCTGGCCAGCAGCTCTCACAGTAAAACATCCTAATATTATTTGTAACAGGTAGGTGACATTTCTTATACTTTGTACAGGAAAGCAGAAAATAAATTGGATTTTCCTGTAAACCTTACACCCTCAAGATTCTGCCACCTGATGTGTTGAGATCTGTGACGTGCCATGTTTATCTTTTCAAGGCGATGTTCCCACGGCGTTTACTCATGGTTGCCTTACGGTCTCGGTGTTTTGAAGGCACTTGGCCAGTGTCTGTCGAAAAGGTGGAAGGGTTTTGTATTGTGGGTTTTGTTTTTCTAAAGCTTTCCTTGTGGACTTTTTTTGGCCCACTTCTTCCAGCAGTTCTCAGATTTCTCCCCTGTTTCGTCCTTCTCCCGTCTGTCTTTTCCAGGAATGGGAAACGGGGGCGCAGTGGGAGCCCCACCCAGAGCTTTGTGGGCTTGGGAGGAGGCAGCTGCATTTTATGTGCAGGTGACATCAGCTCTGTTCCAGGCAGACAGACAGCCGGAGGCACAGAAAACGAGAAGCTTTTCCAATGTAGCCGCTTCCTGAGTGCCTTCTCTCTCTGTGGGATGATGCATTGGGAAACCAGTGGTTTCTTCGTTGCTTTTAGAAAAATGGGTGCTTTTAGACCTTCCCCTTTATCCCTCTCCGTTTCCTGCTCAGTCAACAGCCTGATTTTCCTACTTTATCTGATTTCTCCAGGCAATAGCATAATCTCTGGTAATGAAAAAATAATGTGCGTAATTGCCAGAAGACACTTTTAGGCAGACTGAAAGATCTGCTTTATGGCAAGCCTCGTAAACACCATCAAGGAAGGTTTTCTTAAAAAAGGCGAGGACTGCCAGTTCCCCATCACATCACATCTTAGAATGGTTGACATCCATTCAGGTGGGGGACAGAAGGTTCCAGCCTGTGTTCCCTGCAGCTCGGAGGTGAGCGCAGCCTGTGGGAATGCCCACCTGTGAGGCAGGCTGCTCAGAAACGGCCACAAGATTCACCTTGGCACAGATGATCTTTTGTCAGCAATCTAAAGCAGGTTTTGTTTTGTTTTGTTTTGTTTCTCTCCTTTAGGGGGTCACAGGTGCCTTGACAGTTTTGATGAAAGATGCAATAAAACCAAATCTGATGCAGACCCTAGAAGTAAGTGATTTTCTTTTTATAGAAATTGTTGACGTCAGAGAAAGACAATTATCATATGATCTCACTGAAACGTGGAATTTAAGAAACAAGGCAGAGGATCATAGGGGAATGGAGGAAAAAATGAAACAAGGCAAAACCAGAGACGAAACCATAAGAGACTCTTAATCTTAGGAAACAAATTGAGGGTTGCTGGAGGGGAGGGGGGTGGGGGGATGGGGTGGCTGGGTGATGGACTTTGGGGAGGGTATGTGTTGTGGTGAGCACTGGGTGTTGTGTAAGACTGATGAACCACAGACCACTACTCCTGAAACAAATAATACATTCTATGTTAATAATTTAAAAAAATATTTATTGTGATAAAGGTCATAATAGCTGCTAGTATTGAATTAAGTCTACAATTATTTTTTACATATTAAAAAACATTTAAATGTTTAAAAAAAGAAATTGTTGACATTGCATTCATTGCATTGCGTGTGCATCCCCACACAACGTGAGCATTTCCAGCCAATGTGAGCCCACAGGGAGTATCAGAATAAGTCCTTGGACATCCAAAAAAGTTAAAAGTGTATGTATAGATTCTTTCCTTGGGTAATGCAGTAGAAACATAAAAATTCCGTATCTAATATGTCGGTAAGTTGTGGAGTGATGTTTACGTGATGTTTTCTGTTTTGCCTTTTTTGGACTTAGCTTCTCATAATCATTAGGTTTAGGGTTTTTTGGTTTGTTTTTCCCAAACAAAACACAGAGTGTATGCTAAGAAATGCTTCCCAGGAAAACATGCTGTACCCCCCTTTCATAAGATTTACCCTGCTCTTGCCCAGAGGACAAATAGGTTGGAGGAAGACAAGCAGAATCTCCATCCATTTATTCATTCAGCCGATAGAAAGCTCAGTTTGAATGTACCCTCTGCCATTTACTGACTGTGACCTTGGCCAAGTGTTTACTAATCTCAGCCTCTGTTTTCCCCCATGTAAAATGGTGATAGTAAGGAAGACTAACTTAGCAGGGCTATTGTGAAGATTCAGTATTCACTGAACCCATGACTTGGGCAGGCCTTGCGGTAGGAGCTTAGGACAACAAAGTCCCGCCCTCTTGGAGCTTGTCCCTTAGTGGGGGAGACAGAGGATAGAGAAATGAGTCAGCACATAGCATGTCAGCTGGTGGCGAGGACTGAATTAGAAAAATAAGAGGGAATGAGAGAACAGAGAGCAAGGTGGGTGGCGTCTGATGACCAGAGATGTGAACAAACCAGGAGACTGAGCTGCATGTGAGGAAGAGCTTTCTGGGCAGAGGGTAACATGTAACGCAAAGGCCTGTGGGCAGGGATTTGCTCTATAGTCAGAAAGGCTCCAGTAGAGAACAAGAATCCAGATGCAAGGCAACATGACAGAAATGGCAGAACCAGCCAGACCTGGAAGGTCCGAGGTGAGGGTGCAGTGCTGAGCCGGGGGGTAAGAGCACAAGCACCTTCTTAGTGGGGCCTCTCCTTCCTGCAGCATGAGCTCCTTCCTCTCTCCTGCCAGTCCATCGGCATGCAAGCAGGCTCTGATATAAGTCATCTTAAAACAAAACAGTCCCCAAAATTCCCAGTACCCAGTGTCCCCACCTAGCTACTGCTCCATTTCTCTGCTCTCTGTCACAGTCAGATACTAATGTCTATGACCTGGGTCTCCCCTTTGTCACCTGCCTCTCTTCAGTAACTTCAGCCTGACCTGAGCTTCCACGTCTCCTGGATGCTCCTGTCATGGTCACCTGTCCCTCCGTATGACCAAGTCTTTGTTTCTCTGTCCTTCTCTGTGTGGCCTCTTCACAGAGTCCGACCCAGCTGATGTTTCTTCTTTCTGGAGCCCTTGGTTCTTCTGGCTTCTGGGACACCTCGTGGCCCTGGGCCTCCCACTGTCTTCCCCTCCATCTTGTTTGCTGGCCTGGCCTTGGCTCAGCTTCTAAATGTCAGAGGGTCTGAGCCCTCACTTCTCCAGCTGTACTTACCCCCCCATCAGCCACGTGCTGACCCCCAAACTTTTTTTTTTTTAAGATTTCATTTATTTATTTGAGAGAGAGAGAGAGAGTGAGCACCAGCAAATGGAGCAGCAGAGGGAGAGGGAAAAGCAGGCTCCCCACTGAGCAGAGAGCCCGATGTGGGGCTCCATCCCAGGACCTGGGAACACGACCTGAGCCGAAGGCAGATGCTTAACCGACTGAGCCACCCAGGTGCCCCATGACCCCTGAACTCTTGTTCTGAATCTCGTGACCTCAGAATTTCAGAGTTGTGGATGTACTTGCCGAGAGCCATTGCATATCAAACTTGGTTATAAAATAGGGTCTTTGATTTCAAAGCTAGTCAGTGGTTCCAGCCAAAATCCTAGAAGTTGTCCTGGAGCCCGGTTCCCTCTCCCTGGCTCCCCCCCATCTCCATCCCTGCGGAGCCTCCCTCCCTCCCTGAAGCGTCTCCAACCTGTCCACTTCTCTCGCTGCCCCGGCCTCCAGCGTACCCTCCCACCTTGCCACAGTGGCTACTGCTAACACTCTTTCTTCCAGAATCCTTTCTCTGCTCAGCCACCCGAGAGCTCTGAAACTGAATCAGGTCCTGTTGCCCTCCTGCTTAGAGCTCTTGGGTGGTTTACCCTGATCCTCATTCTGGCTGGAAACCCTGCAGGATCTGGCCCTTCCCTGCCTCTTCTCTCATTCTCTCTCTCCCTGCCTCCTGATTTCATGTGTCTGGCTCCTTCTTGTCCATTAGGACTCATGTCCTTTAAATCTCAGCACCCTGGAGAGGCCTTCCCAGGCCACTGAGTCCAACACAGCCCCAGTCATGAGTCCTACCACTGTCTTGTCATTCTGGGCGTGGCACAGAGTATCATCCAAGAGTTTCCTACTTCTTTGTCCATCCATCCACCAGGATGGGAGCAGGACCTTTTCCACCTGGCTCACCACCAGATCGCAGCTGCCAGAAAGTGCTTCGCACATATTAGGTGCTCAGCAAACATTTGTTGAATAATTAAATGAATACTTACTATTTTTACTATATGGCTCCTAAAAATATATATTTGTTTAATAAATAAGTGAATGAAAATAAAAAACTTATAAAGAAACATGCTTTGCTTCCTCATAACACTTCTCCCTTAAAAATGAACATGTTACTATCATTATTGGGGATAATCAGCTTACTGTTTTAAATACTTATCTTTCTTTCATTTTTTTAAGATTTTATTTATTTATTTGACAGAGAGAGACACAGCGAGAGGGAACACAAGCAGGGGGAGTGGGAGAGGGAGAAGCAGGCTTCCCACTGAGCAGGGAGCCCAATGCGGGACTTGATCCCAGGACCCTGGGATCAGGACCTGAGCCTAAGGCAGACGCTTAACGACTGAGCCACCCAGGAGCCTTTCTTTCTTATCTTTCTTAAATTAAAAATTTTATCTTTCTTAAATTAAAAATTACCTACACCTTGGGCACAAGCACAATCTTGTGCTCTAGTGCTCATGTTCGGATACACTTGATTGTTACTCCCATAGCGGACTTTCAAGGGTTACTGTGCTGCAGGTTGCCGGGAGACTGGTAGTTCTCAGTTCTGCACGTTAAAATCTCCTGGGAAGATTTTTTTTTTTTTAAGATGTTATTTATTTATTTTAGAGAGACAGAGAGCAGGAGTGCAAGCCGGGGGAGGACCACAGGCAGAGGGAGAGGGAATCTCAAGCAGACTCCGCACTCAGTGCAGAGCCCAACACGGGGCTCGATCTCAGGACCCTACCATCATGATCTGAGCCAAAATCAAAAGAGTTGGCCACTCAGTCGACTGAGCCACCGAGATGCCCCATCATAGTTTTTTAACTAAGTACTTAACTCTGTGTACTGTATCATAGCCATAAATATTAGGTGAGCATGTGTGTCTCTGTGTTTCAGTGTCTAATAATGATGTTCGACAAATTTGTCCATTCAGACTCCAGACTAGGAGTTTGAAAAACAGGGCTCTAATACTGCTTTAGTGACTAATTCACGGTGAGGCCGTTAATTTTAAATTAAAACGCTGCTGACCTAGTCCTTAGAGTGGTTATCTCAGGAACAGTGAGGTGTTTGTGCTGATCTGGCCACACCCTGTCACCTGTCCCTCACCAGAGACCAGTGTTTGGTGCTTCTCAGACCGAGGGCCTCACTGAATGCCGCAGTGTGTAGACCCAGGGACGGAGGCTGTGACCTTGTCCTCACAATACTGTCCCCAGCTCCACTAGCTTACCACAGGCAGCCACGTTCCCGGACTGCAAGGGGAGGTGATGGAGACTTGAAGTTCTTCTAAACAGTGTTTTCTTCAGAGCTTTTAAAAGGTTTATCTGGACAGAAGTGAGAAGTTAAAGAGAGGTATACAGATCTAGACACTAGACACACACATGAAAATATCCATAGGCACCTACGTTTGGATTTCCTATTGCCAGCTTTATTTCCACAGACATTTGTGTGACCTCATCAGGACCCTGTCATTGTGCCTCCTGAGGACTCTGGGAAGAAAAGTAAATAGAGAACTCACAGAATGGCTTTGATAAACTCTGTCTTTTTCATTCTCAGAGATGATTTTCTTTCACTGCCTTTCTTCCTGCTTTTGTTCAGCTCTCGTCTTTGAAATATGTTCGGTTAGCAGCCCATCGTGGTTCGTGGGAATTTTCCATGGCTCCCAGCCTTCCCCCCACCCCCACTCCCTGCCTCCCCCTGTCAGTAAGAGGGCAGCCTCTGTTTTCACAGGTGGAACCAAGGCCTCACAGACACACCCCAGTGGCCCCGGCTGGGCTCGGAATAAAACCCCAACATTGTAACGCATGTGGATAAATTCCCTTAGATAGGGCTACAGTCTGTTCTCACTGATAAAGGAAAACTGTAGAAATGGCATTTAAAATGAAAATATCGACCGATTTTCTTTAATGAATTAAATCTAAAAGTTTTGATAATTCCTTTATATTGAGGTTGATTTGGTGTTTTGTTGTTGTTGTTGTTTTTGCCTTTTTAGTAAGAATTACTCTAGCATTGTACCAAGAGTGAAAATTTTCTTTGCTTTTATTGTCTTAATACTTACCAGATTTTTAATATGTAAGCCAGTTAAACAATGAGAAAGACTTAAAACAGAATTTGTAAAAATCAGAAGAACAAGTTTATTATTGTAGATATAAAAACGAGCTATAATGAACGTAAACCTTATGGGATTGTCCTTCCATACTACACAGGTCATTAATTTTATTGATTTTTTTTTTTTTTTTGCTTTCTTTAGATTTTTCTTGAAGTGATTGATTTCTCAATGGAGGAAAAAAAATAAATTTAAATAAGCCTCTTAGACCATTGGGGTTCAATTCTATTCTTTAAAAAATAAATATATATAAAATGCAAAATACTGTCAAGTGAGGTAAATAGTTTACTTCATAGTCAGTGAGGCAGCTAATGAGTGCTTTATCAAAATTATAGTAGGAAATAATCAATCCTTATAGGTTTTTCTCCCTAGTTCAGCATTTAGTGTAGAATGACACTGTTGTAGAATATACCAGGAATTTGGTCCTTTGAGAGAGTCAAGGTGTTTTCTTTTTCTTTGAGAGAAGTTGCACACTGAATATGCAGTATTAATAAAAGCAGAATGGCTTCAGTGAGTCTTTAAATACCAAGACTCACCATCTTGGTTCATTCCTCCCTTTGTCTTTGAGGGTTTTAATTTGTTCTTCAATTTCTGTAGGGGACACCTGTCTTTGTGCATGCTGGCCCCTTTGCTAACATTGCCCACGGCAACTCTTCAGTGTTGGCTGATAAAATAGCCCTGAAACTGGTTGGTCAAGAAGGATTTGTAGGTAAGTCATTTCTGTTAAATTTAGTTGTAGAATATGGAAGAAATCTAAAAGTTGATGACTGAACAAGAGCGCTGTCCATTCTGACTCAAAATATATTCTTTTAGACCGACCTTTCAAAGATGGTCTCAATATTGGAAAAGCACTATGGTCTCGTCTAGACTAGTAAAATGATGTTGTGTTTGAACTGTTGATTCGATGTCAAGTACCCATGGGTTTGCATATGAGCTCGGACACTTGCTGCTAGAGTGATTTTGGACACATTTTAATGACCTCTGAGCCTCAGTCTTCTCATCTATAAAATGGTGACTGCAATATTGTAGCAAACCTTATGGAGTTATTGTGAAAACCAAATGAGATTATTTATTGATTCAGCCAATATTTACTGAGGACCTACTATGCACAAGGCATGCTACTCAGAGCTGGAGATACACAGTGAGGAAAACAGACCCAGCCCTGCCTTCATGGAGCATACTGCCTAATGCTGTATGTCATTAATAGAAGAAGTGCTCGTTAACTGTTAGCTGTTATTAGCAGTCGAAATCAGTTTGCTCTTCCTCAAATTGGAGTATGTTTTTGTGTCGAATGGAGGGGAGATTCCCAGCCATTAGACTTGGAAATTTTAATTGGTAGGACTTCAGACGTTGCGCTGCAAAGGTGTCCTTTGGTGGCACCTGCTGGTCTTCGGTTTTCGATGGAAATTCCAGTCAGGAAGAAGGGGTAGCTGCCATAGAGTTTGCTCTGTCAGGGCTAGTCCCAGTCCCACCCGTGAGGTGGAAGCAACTAAGGGCAAACAAATAAGGATTCTTGGAATAACACCATCATTTGACATCAGACAGACCACAGTGGCAGATTTTTCACATGCCACCAGGTAATTTCCACTCGCCACATTCGTGCCTGTAATCATCAAGTCTAGCAATTGCTTCTTTCACACTAATCATCAGCCTTGTAATCAAACTCAGAAGTGAGTTATTTTACTAGAAAAGATTCTACTGGGCTAAAGAACTTAGCACTGCACTTTTATGCTCAGCCATTATAAAGTTCACTCAGGGTTGTTGAGACCGTTTTTAAGAATTCCCTATAGACATGCAGTCAGGATCCAATGAGAATTTATGTAGTTCATTCCTCAAGGTCTGTATTGTATAGTTCTTGTGTACTTTGCTGCTTTGGTACGGAATCTACTATGAGAGTGGCTAGACATGCCATCTAAATGGATTTGCTCCATTGATCACAGCATAACTGTAGAGCTAATGGACCAGGAGTCTGGGAAGGGCAGGCACTGAAAAGTTGGGTGCTTATGTGAAGTGGTGGTTCTAATGCATCAACTCCACAAATGAAAGAGCTTCTAGAAGAAAACACTCTATTATGTGCTGACAGAGCTCTCTGCTCCTGTGCCAATCCTTACTTTGTCCGTATACATTTACAGAATATGTGTTATCGTGGCAAAGCATCTTTAAAGGTATAGGCTGATGATGTATGCAAAACATACTGGCTTTCTGTGTGACCTTGGACCATCCATTAGCCTCTCTGGGAGTGTCCCTGGTAGACATTCTCATGTGAAAAAGGCGAAATGAGGAATTGCGTATGGATGCGCAGCCCTGACCCTGAGATCAAAGCTGTGGGATCATAACCCTACCTGGTAGTGTGACCTGAAGTAAGTTACCTAGCTTCTCTAGGGTTCAATTCCCTCCTTTCGTAACTGCAGTATTTTAATGAGTAGTATCAAGTGAGAAATGGCTGTGTAAACCATGGCAAACCAGTCAAATGTCATTGATTTTGCTAATGCTTTCTATGATCTCTTCCAGTCTAAGAGGGTGTAGGTGGGGGGGGATTCAGTGACAGAAATCTGCCCACTGCCGGATGGGTTAGGGTGCTAGCTCTAGAGTCAGAGTAACTGGCTCTACTCCTTTCAAGTTGTGTGACATTAGGCAACTTAACCCTTCTTAGCCTCAGTTTCCTTATCTGTAGAATGGGGCTTTAAATAGAACCCTATTTAAACCCCATAGGTTTGAACGAGGTTTGAATGAGACTGCTTGCTAAGTCCTGGCACAGCACCTGACACATGGCAAGACTCGGTGATAATTCTTAGCCACTTCTCATTATTACTCTCCCCATCATTGATCCTTGACTAATAAAGGTTAAATTTCCCCTTTTTCATTTAGGGTTCTTTTTTTTGTGGGGGGAGTGATTTTATTTTTAACTGTGGTAGAATACATCGAACAAAGTTTATCATTTTAACCATTTTTAAGCACACCATTCAGTAGTCAAATACTTTTGCGTTGGTGTACAACCATCACCACCATCCATCTTGCAAAACTGAAACTCTGTACCCATTAAACAACAACTCCCCACTCCCCATTCCCCCAGCCCCTGGCAACCACCCTTCTACTTTCTGCCTCTGAGTTTTTGACTCTTCCTCATATCGGTATTTGTGCCCTCCTGTGACCGGCTTATTTCACGTAGCATAATATCCTCAGAGTTCACCCATGTTGGATCATCTGTTCAAATTTCCTTGGTTTTCAAGGCTGAATAATGCTCCAGTTTATGTATGCCATGTTTTGTTTATCCACTCATCTGTCTGTGAACACTTGGGTTGCTTTCACCTTTCGGCTTTTGTGAATAATGCTGCTATGAACGTGGTACGCAAATAACTCATGTTAGTTTTAATATAAATAAAGATCGCGCTTCGTTATGTATAACTGTGTGACAGCAGTGACTTGCAAAATATGTGTAGACTCAAGGCCCATAATGTTAAACTCTCACGAAGGAGGTACCCTAATGCCATGGCTGCACTGGAATGTGGGAAGCAAAGCCAAGGTGTTGAACTGTGGGAGCAGGGCATGATCAGGAAACAGTGCTCTTACCCCCCTTGCCTGGTCAAGCCTGGTCTGTGGGCTGCATTGGATGAAATTTCAATTAATAGCTGGTTCCTCTAAACATTGTTTTAAATTCTTCTAATCCCTTTCTGTCATAAGAATGGTCTCATTCTAATAAAAAATGTGGGTGTAGTCTTATATAAAATAACTCCAAATCTCATTCCAGTTTAAGTCTCTCCCATCTTGGGCCTGCATTTGGCTGATAATGAGAAGGGAACGGTAGCTTTTTCTCCGTCCCCCGTTACCGTGCACTTAGTCTGCCTCTGGCCCCTCTAGGGTTGAAGCTTGGACATTCGATGGTACCCGTCCAGCCTCTTCCAGCAGAGGACCCACACTCTTGGCAGAAACCCTCTGAGCAGTATCCCTTTGAGAAAGTCCTACTGCTAATTCAGTACCTGATCTCCAGGCACCACAGACCTTTGACCTGTGACCTTACCATTGGTGAGAGTGCAGTTACAACTCTCACCTGAGTCTCTGCTCCACTGCAGGGGCTGTTTCTCTTCAGCCTGCAGACTTGTAGTCATCCCCAACCCACCACTGTGCCCCTGCCTTAGAGGGACCTCCAGTTGTGCATTTAGAGCCTTACTCGTTAGCTCCATATCCTTTCCACTGGGATGTAGGCAGTGGGATTCTGCACATTGATAACTTGCTTTGAAGAAATCCTTTCCTGGCTTCTAACTTGATCAACCCTTTGAAAACTCAAGGTAGCTGTTGGGCTCAAGGATACAGAATCTATTTTCAAATAATGTCTTTGCAAATGCTGCTAGGTTTAGCTTCACCCTTTAGCATGAGAACAATTGACACTGTTTTGGGGCTTCAGACAAAAGTGAAACCAAAAGAGCCCCATTTTAACATCCTCCCACAGAAGTTAAATGCAGTAGACATAGGTTTATCTGAAGTCTGTGAGAGAATTTATGTCCTCAGAAAAGTCATTGTTTATAGAAGTCTGTGCCTCTTAAGATATAAAAAGCCCAAATCCAAAAGAAGATTGATAATTTGGGTTACATTAAAAGATAAATTCTGTATGATAAAAGATACAGGATTTCAAAAACAAGTGACGGACTAGGAGAAACCTTTGTAGAGGTAACAGACAAATGACTACCATTTGGAATGTATATAAACCACCAAGAATTATGGATTGATTTTTTAAGACAAGTAATCCAATAGAAAAATGGGCAAAGGATTTGAAAGGGTAATTTACAGAAAAAGAGCACCCTGACAGAATTTCTGGGTCAAACTGAAAATGTGCAAACAATCTAGCAACTTCAGTTCTATGTCATACCTTGGAAAAGAAGTAACTGAAGATTTATTTAAGTCCTTTGAAATAATTTACTTCAGTACACATGTATTGAGCTTCTGCTGTTATGTCAAGTAATATACGGTGGGAGCTGGGAATCAGAGATACAGGACATGTTTCTTAGCCTCCAGTCATTTATAAGGTGGTGTGAGGGATAAGCCCATAAACAGAACCTCAGTGGTAAGTGCAATGCACTTATGAGATTAAGTATCCTACTGATTAACGAAGAACCTTAAGAGATGATAGGCATCTCTTAGATAGAATTTTCCCAATACTATGGGTTTTGTGAGATATATTTAGTCTAATTTTTTGTTCTATCCCAACACACACAGGGAAGGAATTATTTTGTCTACTCTGCAATAATTATTCCAAGATAATGGGATCAATATTCCGTTTAGACTAAAAATAGAGTGAAATTTATTTAATTACAGTTGACCCTTGAACAGTTTGATGGTTGGGGCACTGATCCCCATCCTGTGTAGTTGAAAATCCCCATATAACTTTTGACTCCCCCTCAACTTAACTACTAATAGTCTACAGTTGATTAGAGCCCAATCAATGACATAAACAGTCAGTTAACACATATTTTGTATGTTATGTATATTATATACCGTAACCTTAAGATAAAGCAAGCTAGATAAAAGAAAATAGTATTTTTGTTTTTTAAAGATTGTGGTGGTAGAGGGAGAGAGAGAATCTCAAGCAGACTCCCCAGTGAGTGCAGAGCCGGACGTGGGGCTCCATCCCAGGACCCTGAGTTCATGACCCGAGCCAAAATCAAAAAGAGTCAGCTACTGAACCTACTGAGCCACCCAGGAGCCCCAAGAGAA